ATGCCCCCGACGCCCGCTCCTTCCCCACGACCTCCCTCTCGCCGGGGACTGCAAGACGCACGGACGCGTTCAGCGGGCCGAGTCTCGTGTGTGACGCGAGCGAGGGCTGCCGGGTTTCGTCGGCTCTATTGGAACTGGCACGGGTCGATTCGAATTCCATCGCGTGATCGGATCGTACTCGACTACGGCTTCTCGTGCACTCGTCGTAATCAGAATCGAAAATTTCTTTTAGCTCTGTTAATCGTGTTCGGGATGATGAAAAAAAAAGTCATACGTAGATCGTGATCTGTACAGTGGTACAATACAATCCGTATAGCAATGCATTGATACAATCGTATTCGTAATCAATTGCAAAGCCAATCCAATCAACCCGTGTCTGTTCCGAAGACGATGCGATAAGACGACCGATCGCGTTCGTCGACGCGCCAACGTCACCCCAGCCTCTCTCGGCAAGAAAAAGCACTCGACATTCCAGTCCGAAACGTACAGGAGGCGAGAGCTTCGAAGAGAGCGAACAGCATCCAGTAAGTGGACGAGAAGAACATCCAGCCGCGGATGTCACCCAATGCCTCCTCCTTCCGCTCCACCTGGCGTATATATAATATATAAATAAATCATGTAGATCCCGACCCCTTTGAACCTCTGAACGGACGAAGCCGGTCGAAGATCAGACCTGGAACCAGATGAGTCCCGCCACGATCCCCAGCGCGATGGTCTGCGCCCAGTTCAGAGTGGAGAGCATCCGTGGCCTCGCCTCCGCGAAGTTCCTCTTCGTCAGCACCTGGAACGACACCAAACGACGACACGGTCTCGGAACGAACTCTCCGTCTAGTCGGATCCACTTCGTCACGAAGAAAAACCTTGAACTGAGTCCAGAAGGACGTCGGCCACTTCGGATCGCGAGAGCACGACCAGTCGTCCTGGGCCGTCGAGGTCGCCGTCGAGGCGTGGCTCGCGGAGTCCTCCGACCAGGAACTTCGCCCGCTGTCTCCTTCGTCGCCTTCTGCCGTCGCGAATCCATCGCGTCCATATCAACGAGGTCGAGATCGGAACGAATTTCGATGCGGGATCGACGAAGTTACCGATTTTCGTGTAGACCGCTGGGGCTTTCTTGTCCGGGTCGATGACGACGCGGAGCTCCGCCTCGTCGTGGGTGGATTCCTCCGTGACGTCACATGTCCCCTTCAGCCACCCTGAGTCTTCCGCTCCCTCTTCTATGGAATCTGATCGAAACCAAATGATTTATTGTTCTGTACCGATTCGAAGACATTCGAAGTGGAAAGGAAAAGCGGCATTACCTGATCTCTGGTCCCATTTTCGTCGAGATGATCCAAGCTCTTTAGATGCTAGGATGAGCCGACGTTGAATCTCGCTCGGTCCCTTCACCTGTTCCACTGGTATTTCGGGGGGAAAAAAAAAAAAAATTATTCAAAGTCTGATCTTCTTTAAAGTCAGACCATTCATCGAGTTTAACTCTCGTGCGGATACCAGAGCATTAGAATAACACTCACTGATGAAGTCGGCAGGATTGTAGTGCGGACTGATGTGGAGCCCCATGTTGGCAAAGTGTTCCACGACGTCTGCAATGTCGCCAAAGTACGCCGTCTGCGCGAGAAATGTGGAGAAGGACATGCAACAGCGACGAGGCAAAGGTTTCTACAATGGAGGCTCTCACTGGAGTTTGGCAAAGCGAGGTGGGGCATATATGAAGGTGTCACTTAATTAGAGCGTTGAGGGAGGTCGAGGGAGGTCGAGGGAGGTCGAGGGAGGTTGCTCTGATGGAGCATCGATGGTGCACTGGGGCACAGGATATATATATATATATATTATATATATATTTTTTTTTTAGCTCCTCATTGTCTCCTCAAGCCATCTCGACATAATTCATGGTTCATGGCTGCACTAATCGTTCGACTATGCATAGATACCCACTAGGAACAATTAATCCCCATTAGAGTAACCTACGGTAACGTTGGGCCGAGCGGGTCATCGTCGCATCAAGTACGAATTGCGAAAAAAGGTAGTATTTTCGCACTTCCGCTACTCTGATCCTCCTCGCTGATCTCCCTAGCCCACGAATGGGATGAATCAACGAGTACAAGTACAAGGAGTACAAGTACAAGAAGTACTTTCGCGGATGGAGACCGGGGATGGACCCCTGCCGTAGTAGGGTACCCACTACCCTCCTTCGCCAGGCGCTCGGAGGGATCGGAGCGTGGGAAGCCGCTTCCGCGAGGCCGAGGCATGCAGACGGAGGCAGACGGGGAAAACCCGCGACGCACGATGGGAATGGGAGCCTGACGATGCCTATACGGTCGGCTGGCATCGGCCGGATCCGCTCTCACGATAACAATTAGCATCTAACAATTAGCGTCGGGGAAGAGTTTCCCGCGTCTGGGAATACGTCTGGCGGAAGGCTTCGTCTCTGACGATAGCGACTTTGAGACGATGCCAGGCAGCGAAACGACGAGTCTCTCGATGGACCCGCCTGGCAACGTTCCACGCGCTCCACCTCAAATCCCCATGGATTCTCAGCTGTGGTTTATTCGCGCTCAAAACTGCGGTAAACATTTTTTTTTTCTCAAATCGTGGCGCAACGCCACCCGACTCGACCGACCTCGGCTGAAACAATTTCTTCCAGTCTCGTCGGGTTCGTAGTGATTGTAATATTTAACTCTCGACCACGTGCACCGATGGCTCCGAGGTCGGAAGCATTTTTATTGTTCTCCTGTGATCCATCCAATCGTACCTCAAATCGACGCGGGGTCTTCGGGTCATTCCAAGAAAAGAATTCGCGATTTCCCAAAAATGAACTCGACTGGTTAATCTGCATATCGAATTTCACACCGATCAGGGCTATATCGTTCCGTCATGAGCCGTCGTCGAACGATGACAGAGGGAGAGATGCAGACGGACGGACACGTCGAGCCTCGAAGTGCTCTCATCCCTTCTCGGAAATGATGGCCACAGATGATGGCCACAGATGACGGACAACGTCCAGTCGATGCAGGAATCGACGAGGAAAAACGCGATCGCGAAGGCTGGGAAAGGAGGTTCTCCGGCGGCCGCTGGAGGTAATCGAATGATGAGGGCGAATGAATGGAGAGATGGCCGAGGAAGGGAGGAAGGGAGATGGATGGGGATCGATTTGGGTCTGTCACCCCTCAAGGTCATTGTCGGTTCCATCGACCCTTTTGGGTCGACGGCCCTCCCCCTTCTGGGGTTTTCCTTCGCTTGCCCTCGCTCCTTTTTCCTTTTTTTTTTTTCTTCGTCTATCCCGTGTCGAGTGCGAGGGAAAAAAGGCGTCTGATTGCGCCGCTCCGTCGTATGTTGTCTCTGTCAACATGCGTAATTCTCCGTCTACTAATTGGAAGTAAGGAAACGGTGGATTTACGATCGTCGGGGCAGACAAGGAAACCAAACCAAGGTCTCTCGTCCAATATGCGTCGATTCGGAGCAGGGCTGAAATAAACATCGGAGGCCTTGGATCCTCTATATCGCCTTCGCGGAGCAGCACAGATCGGCACGCAATTCCAGCTCGAAAAGCAATGGAAAAAGCGGCCGCGACTTGGCTCCGCCGAGACGCACTTTGTTGACAAACTTTAACACCATTAGTTCTCCGACTTAATGGTTTGAAGGTGGCGATGGCGATGCCACCTCGAACGACGAGAGTAATTAGACGGCGTTCTCGCGTTCCCCACGTCTCAATCCAGCTTTTTTTTTCCTTTTTTTTTGCCCTTTTGGAGGATGGGGGTAACGAGAGGAGAAAAGGGAAATGACGTCATGCATGCCATCGACTCGACCTGGCTTGGCCAGGGTTCAAG